TCGAGTTATCTGGGTATTTGCGTCTTGCTTGCACCACATTGCCAATTTGAATTTCCCACAAGTTTGCCAGTCACATTTGGGGAGAACCACTGGCCTCCTCCCCCCTCCTATTCAGCTTTTGCATTTTTCTCACTAGGATCTGTAGCTATATATAGGTCCTAGTGATAAACATGCAAAATCATATCTTCCTTACCCAACACTGCGAAGAAGTTGCCAATAACGTGGCTTTGGCAACAAGGACAGATGCCCCGTTACACTTAGTTATGCTGTCGCTGCCGCTAATGGGCTAGTATAGCGCTTTTCCCCTCTACTCTTATACCTCTATGGCTGTGATTGGTCGACTCTCTCTCATAGAGGTATAATAATAATATTATTAAAATAATATTATTATACCTCTATGCTCTTTCTTCTGCTCTCAAGGTAGAGCAGACGGTCAGAGAGAGATAGAATTCCTCTTATGCAGTCTTCTTTCTCTTAGCTGATCACGCGCAAATCGCCCAATTGCGTGCTCTATTCTTATACCTCTATGCCTGTCCTGCTCGCTCTATTGCGCTTCATGTGACTGCGGCTTAAGTCCTGTTGTTTGAAAATATTGTACAATATGGTACGTCACTCACATCATTAAGTAATATCTTATTTAAGACGATAATTGATATTTGAAAAGAGTAATAATGAACTAATTATAGTACATAAGATTAAATTGGAGTACTAATATTTATACTTCAAATGTTATCTCTTTCTTATTTATTATTCCTATTTTTACCCGAGTTATGTTTATGATCTACATGTTACCAAGACTGTTTAAGTTTAAGATTTTTAAACGAGTACATAGATACTTTAAATATTTACAATGATGTCTTTAAAAACTAGCAAACTGTAGTGTATTGTAATATAATAAGAGCTACATTAGCTCTTGCTGTAGAATTCAAAGAGATGTTGTAGGAAACTGAACATTCTAAACGTATGTAATATTTGGCAGACGTATTCAAGAAAGGTATTAGTATAATACTTGTGTCAGTGTTGTGCAATAATTATATGTTCGAAAGAACTCTGTCTAACACACTATTTATCTGGTACTTGAAAATTTTTTATTGATTGAACTTGAGTATTACTTATAAAAGAGTAGCTACCAAAATAAATATTTATGTTTCAAAATTTGCCCAAGTCATTACTAGAACCATAATTTAGTTTGAACAAAAACATAATTTGATACATTCTTAAAACTTGCTGATGAACCCAGTTTTTTGGAAGAGATTCTAATGTAGGAATATTGCGAATACAGTCGTCAAAGTACTAAAAAAATTATTTCGTTTGCACAAACATGGATTACAATTTACTCTTCAAATTTTTTCTCTCTCATACGTAGTTTAGTATAGAAAGAAACAGACTGTTTACTTGGTGTAATTATCAATATTTGTTGTACAAAATAAGTAATCTCACTCTTTACTGGTTTTATACCTAAAGTTCTATAAATTATGGAAAGTATTTCTGAATATTTATATTATTAAAGATGAAAAAGTAAAATCGAATTCATAAATCTGTGAGGCATTAATTAGAGGTAATTGTCTATACTATTATACTGTAAAAATATTTCAATAAGCTTGTATGTCGTGAGAAAAATGTTTTTTTTTTATATTACTGTAGTTGACAGTAAGTTACAAATACTACACAAAATATTTGTTATGCACAATATGCTTACAATTTGACTAATTTATTTTATGAAAAACTTATGTTTATTGTGCAAATAAAACAAGTATTTCTCTGCTGCTTAATAATCTTTTCCAGTTTGTGTGTGCTACATAAAAAAGTTTAAACTGTTCATCAATCGTGGCATCACAAATAAAGAGTGAAAATCTTTTAAGCCATTAAAATTGCGTTTCAAATACATAAAATACATTCCATATCATGCTACAGACTTGACCTCGAGCCAAATACATTCCTTGTTTATTATTGCAAAATAACTTAAGAAATCGACTTTTTCTTATTTTTATTAAAATATCTCAAAAAGTACTGCTTTTGAAATTCTTATTGAAAAAAAAACAACAACAAAAACAGGTGGCCTCACATGTGACTCAACGCAGAAGTGAGAACTTCGAAAACATGTAAGTAGTTATGTTTGGTTCATCTATCTGTCCGTCCGCAATTTTGCGTTTTCTAAATAATTTTTAAGGTTATTGTTGGGCAAAAAAACGAAAAATATATCCTCCATATTTGGAACAATTTTGCAAGTATGCTATAATTCTTCTAAAAATTTCCCACCTTGATTTTGTAGAGAAATATTAAAAATACTGAGATTTCATGTTATGTCTTCACATAATGCAACACCTTTCCCCGTAGTATGCCCAATGTTTTTTTGACATTTAGGAAACCTGTAAAACTTGTTGTTTTTGCTCTGTCTTGCTTCCTTTTAAAGATATGGCGTATTTTGTAATATTTGGAGGTTATACAATATTATAAAAACCTATTTAATCAACACTGGCTATCTGCATCGATCTGCCATACATGCAAAAATGATTTGGTTCTGTATAAAATTAACTGGTGTATATAAGTAGTATTAATATTAACTAATATATTTTATACACATGCGCGCAGGCAAACATGTACACAGTTACACACTTGCACAGTAAAAGTAGAAAGTACACTCACATACATACACAGTTTCATGGTTCCAATGCAACTGTTGCATCCATAATTCTGTTTCTTTAGAACAGTTTACAATTTGTAAACAAGTTATACACATATGTAGCGATTTTTATCGCCTACTTGAGAGAGAAAAAGGTGTTTCGTCCCGAGAGCACGCCAGGACTCATCAGTAAGGCTGATGACGTGCTCCCTGCCTTAAACACAGGAGAGGTGTGGGCTCAGATTGACTCGATCGCGCTTATATACTAATCGTGCGGGAATTTCACCGCTTGACGGGAGAGAATTATTAGGGGCTTGGCCACCTGGCGAGTAGAGCCTGAAGCACGAGAGATGTGAGACGCCACACATATACATACATGCATGCACACACTATACATTGTACACGTGGACACTGCACCTCGCACTGCACACGGTATAACACACTACGATATGGCAATAGGAATATACACAACACTATATGCTGACTCTAAATATGTATTGGAATCCGAAGGCGAACGATGAGACTAGAGCACCACCAAGCTGTAGTGTATATATACTCCCGTATTAAATAGTTTTCTCGGTGGGGAATTCCACATAACCCCCTACAGACCCCCATTCACCCTCATAGCCCCACTTAATTTTTCGTGACCCTCACAGTCCCCCACCACCCCCCACACTACTTTTGGGGAATCTGACAGGGATCGTACCGTCTTTCTCACACCTTGATGTGTACAGACGAGTTCGTGTCGTGTATATTAATTTTTTGTTTTCAATCTGCTTCATTACTAAATTACTTTAAGACAAAACTTTCTTATCGCTATGATTTATCTCATCCTCAAGGAAAAATTTTAAGTCAATTGATTTATAAGGGGTCGTTGCGTAATGCGTAAATTACATTTAGTTCATCATTAATATATACAAACTGTGGAAGTTTCGCATTAAGATGACTCATTTCTTGAGGCAATTTATGAAACCCTAGTTAAACAACGAAGACTTAGGTCTATTCCTATTCTGTTTTCAATTAATGTTGAAATTGGTACAATAAATGAACATACATTCATGAGATGTGTTATTAGGTAATAAATTTTGTCTATGCATATAAGAATATTCAAATCATGTTGTTATTATTAGAATTATTATTTTTCATAATCCAAAGTTTCTTTCCAAACTATACTTTCAATATTTTAATAGTTTTCTCTATTAATTTGAACAAAAATTCCATTTTTATTTTTGCATCTCGATAAAGCCACGTACAATTGACCCTGCGAAAATGAAGGTTTTTTCAAATATAATCCCATATCAAAACTTTGACCTTGAGACTTGTTCATAGCTATAGAAAATGCTATAACTAATGGGAATTGTTTTCTTTATAAATTGAAAGGTAATGATGAAGTAGTTCCGGTATTTAATGTATTTCTTGAAATAAAAACTTTATTACCAATTTTCTCTTCCGTACCTTTTTCGCCTTCTACGTTATACTTTGACAATTTAGTAATTCGCAATCGTGTACCGTTACATAAGCCATCTGATATCCTTAAATTCTAAATTAACTTTACTATAGTACCTAATTTTAATTTAAGTTCATGAGGTAGCAAGCCTTCACGATTATTGTTTAATATTTTTACGGAAAAATTGATACAAATACTATCATCTGATTTATCAACACCTTTGTAGGTTGCATTATCGATGCTTATGCTGATACAGCATGTTGATCCTATGGTATTTCCTTTATTATTTTCAGTAGGAGATGTAGGATGGAGTACACGTGATAGACAGAAATTTTTAACAAAAGCAGAAAATTCTACCTTGCTTTAATATTACTTTCATCAAATTTTCTATCGACCTAATAGTAAAATTTTTAGTCCCATACTCTATGCTGTAATATTAACGCCACAATTTTTTTTGCATCTATATAGATAAAAAGAAATAGAATAACATTATCGAGTTTTAATGGTAATAATACGAAAGCTTAGACGACCTGATTTTTTTATTACCGTTACATATAACCCTAAATGGTTAGAAATCAAGCAAATTTTTTAAAACTTTCCTGAAGGTACCACTCCGAATGATAAACCGAATATAACTGTTAGACTATTTTGTACAAAACTGAATTGAATTTTAGACGATATAACCAAACACAATATTTTCGGATAAGTTATTGCTTACGTTTATACCATTGAATTTCAAAATACAGGATCTCATTCTTATATTATTGTAACATTGCATATAAACAATAAATTATTCACTACTACAGACATAGATAAATATATTTTATCGGAAATTCCACTTGATTCACAAATGCAAGAATTAGTTGTTAAACACATGCTTCATGGATCTCATGGTGAAGATAGTCCATGTCTTACGAATCATCAAAAAATTTGTACAAAACAGTTTCCAAAAAAGTTTACCAATCATACTGTTTTTACAAAAAATGGATACGCGAATCACAAAAGAAGTGACAATAGATGTCATAATCACATATATAGAATCAAAAATATTAATGAAAAATTTTAGTTGATAATTCAATGGGAGTACCATACAATCCATTTTTGTTAACCAAATATAATTGACACATTGATGTTGAGTATTGTGCATCTATTCAAAGTATAAAGTAAATTTTTGATTGTATTCATAAAGGAGAAGCCAGAGCATCACGTAAAATAACGAAAACAGATACGAGTGATAAAAAAGACGATGTAAAAATTTTTAATGAAATATCAGGTTATGTAGATGGCCACTATTTAAGCCCCATGGAAGCAGCATGGTGATTGCAAGAATTTCCTCTGTGTAGACGTAGTCATTCTGTATTTATTTTACTAGTCATATTGAAAATAAATAGAATTTAGTTTTTCAAAAAAATAATATGTTTAAAGCTATAGAAAACTCCGAAACAGCATTAACGGCTTGGTGTAAATGAAATAAAATGAAATAAATAGTTTTGCAAAAAAATTAGATACGTGAATATTCTAGAATATTACTGTTTCAATTCAACGGTAAAAAATTGAGGTAGAAGAGAAAGAGTTAGACGTATTTTAACAATAGGGCGACTTATAATAGTATCACCTAAGGACTCTGAGTGTTTTTTTACTTTTTTTTATTAACTTGAAAATGTGTGAGTGGAGCTGAATCTTTCGAAAGTTTAAAAACAGTTGATAACATACATTACAATTCATTTAGAGATACTGCTATTGCTTCAGGTTAAGTTGAACACGACTCTCAAGTATATAAAATATTTAAAGAATCTTGTAACGTTATGCTGCCATAACAACTGAGAAAATTTTTCGCATAGTTTTTAATATCTGAAAACGTTTGCGGTAAGTCTATTTGGGAATCACTGGAACAAATTTTTCATTGAAGATTTAAGAGACGATC